AAAGAACTATTAACTTAAACTTGGACTTGAAAAGTAAAAGCAACATTTATTAAGTGCCCACCATGTACTAAATGTTTTTACAACCTATGATTCTCAGGACAACTTTTCAGGATACCTATTACTCAGACCTATTTTATAGAGGTGCTTAAATAAATTACCTACAATTTTGAGTGAAATGCCATTACACTCCTTACTCTACTAAACTCCACATCTCTGAAACCTGAACAACTCCAGTAGAATTAGGCATTCCCGGGGTTGGCTGTATACTTCTCTAATGGTACTTAATACTCACGTGGACTTAGAATTTGTTTTATTACCTCTTCATCCCCTTCTTTGTCAGTGTTTATTAAACCAAGTATAGTTAGTTGAATCAACTGCCAGTAAGACCCTTTCCTAGAAGTTATAATCAAAGTTAATTTTTAAAGTAGGAATCTTCAAAATTTTTAATTATTATTCTATGCATAGGAAATAATGTATGCAACCCATATATTGGTTATGAATCCTAGTGATACAGGAATATCAGTGTAAGGACTCAGACATTACCCTCCCCTTGGAATCTTCCTACACAACTCATCCTATCATGTTCCCCATTTGGAGTTAGCAATTTTTCTGAATATTGTGCTTAATATCATCTTTTATTTTTAAAAATTCTATTTCCATATTCACTTGTTTATAAGGAGCATAGAGATGAGTCTTAGATGTTTGTACACATTCAATAACATTGATAAGATAAATGGTATTCAGGATCTGTATCCCTCTTTTATCTTGTTTATCTTTTCTCTGTATGGTTTTATGTGAACAAGAAAGAAAAAGAACTATTTAAATAAATTTTTAGCTAAGTAAATGGCATGAATTAACCTTGACCTCTTCCTTTCCCTGCCCCCATTCCAACCTACTTGCCTCCCTGATCTGCCTCCCAGTAGCCAACTCTGACCACTTCTCTCCATCTCTTCCACCACCACCCTGTCCCAGCCATTCTGTTCTCTTGCCTGGACACCTGTCGTAATCCCCATTTTCTGCTTCCACTCATGTTGCCTACAACCTATGTTCCACGTTATAGAAAAAGTGATTTGCTATTTTTTTAAACAGTCACATCATGTCATTTTCCTGATTAAAATTGGTTAGTGGCTGACTGGCTTCCCATTGTACTTCAAATAAAGCCCATCTTCCTCAAGACGGCCTGCAATGCTCTTAGGCCAGGACTGTTGGCTAACTTGAACTTAATCCCCTACTCCTTGCTCACATACTCATGACACTCATTTCATCATAGGACTTTCATGCTTGCTGTTCTAGCTACTCTCACACTTTTCCCCAGGATCTTCACAAGGTTGGATCCTTCCAAAACAACAACTATCATGTCCACACAGAGACTTTCTTACCACCCCACCTGAAGAAGCAGCTCTCTTCCCCTTCGCTCTTACCACATTCAGCCTATTGACCTGTTGGCTGTCAGAAACCCTCTTCATATAAAATAAGATCCATGAGGGCAGAAATCTGGACTTTGTTAAAGAAAAAAAGTATTTTGACATTTTTTTTTAAATGATAAGACTTTTTATTCAAAGCAATTGTAAAAAAGAAAAAAAAGTCAGGTTCATCTCCAAGTACAAGGACAAATGGGAATGCATAGCCAATGAATAGAGTGTGGATGAAAAATTACTAAGAGGAGACATCAGTGGTAGGGTAATTCTTACTAAACTGACTTAAGAGGATTCTTGCTAAAAATAGGCCAAGAACTTAGACTTCAAAGATAGGAGATGAAGAACTTAATCTCCTTAAAGATAGGGGATCAAAAACAGATATCAAGGGTAGAATATGCTTTCTAAACTCATTTAGCAAGACTCTTGTTATAACTGATCTTTGGGCAGGCCGAAGATGGGAGTGGGGCCAAAGTCCAAGCCTTACTGAGAAGAAACCTCAGAGAAACCTGACTAAAGTTTGATCAAGAAGAGAGTCTGGGGACCAGCAGTTGGCATAATGGCTCTGTCACTGAACTCCCATGTAGTTGACCACAGTTCAAGTCCTGGACCCAGTAGCTTAAACTCACACCAAGCACGTGTGCGTGTGTGCCCAAGATCCTGAGAGGAGAATGGAGGAGAAGGGATTGCAGCGTGGCCGTCCCCCCTGGAGGGTGATTTCTCACTTTCTGTCTCTCTGTCACTGTCTTTCTGGTAAGCGCACGTGCCCTATAGAAAAAAGAGAGAAAAAACCTCTCCAAATAAAAAGATGACAGTCTGTTAACTTCTTGGGTTTTTTTTGTATCTCTAAAGAAGTCATACCCAAAAAAAGAGAGAAAAAAACCTCTCCAAATAGAAAGATGACAGTCTGTTAACTTCTTGGTTTTTTTTTTTTTGTATCTCTAAAGAAGTCATACCCAAAAGAAACATAATCAAAACCACAGGTTCAAGAAAAATAAAAATATGTTACATTTTCTCATAGCCGCATTACAAAAGTAAAAGGAAACAGGTGAGGCCAGTCATAGTGTTTCAAGCAGTAGGTTGCCATATAGGAGGTCTGGCGTTTGGATCCTGGGTTGACCTGAATATATGTGCCTGTCCTCCTGGCTGGTTAGAAAGTTGGGGGAGGACCACAGCATGTCAAAACCTTGTCGGAAGTCTTTCTTTCTCTCTCTCACTTCCTCTTTCTCTCTCTCTGAAAAAATAAATAATAAACTTAAAAAGAAGTAAACAAAACTAATTTTAGTATTTTATTTAATATGACATGTCTAAAATATTACTATATAAACATGTAATCAATATAAAAGTCATGAATTAAATAGTTTACATTGTTTGTACAAAATATCAGAAACTCTATGGTATTTAACACTCACCGCACAACTGTGATTTAAACTAGTCATATGTCAAGAACCCAAAAGCTACATGTAGCTCAGGGATCCTGTATTGGGTGGTACAGTTCTAAAGGCTAGGAGAGTGACTGCATAAGAGATATACAATAAATGTGTAGTCAATAAGTGGATCCATGAATGAGTGAATAATAACATCTATTCACAAATATTCAAAGTTCTTTCCCTGAGTGTTTAGAATATATGATTGTGGCACTATTCACGATAGCTAAAACATGGAACCAACCCAAATGTCCACAAACAGATGAATGGATTGAAAAAGTGTGACACATGTACTCCATGGAATACTACTCAGCCATTAAAAAAAAAAAAAATCTGGGGCCCTGGAATTTGAAAAAAAGGGGGTGAATAATGAATATGGAAGATTTGTTACTGAGTGAAGCAAGTCAGGCTATGAAAGAGAGGCATTGTATGTCTCCACTTAACGTATACCAACTGTCCTCACTATGGTAGAGACTGAAAGACTGGAGGAAATAAAAGCATTAAAAATTGTTATGGACACTAGAGACAGTGGAAGGAGAGTGTAGGAGGGGAAGAGCACAGGAAAGGAAATTTGGGGATTAAAATGGAGAAGTAAGATATTTGTGGGACACAGATATGGTTTATTATCTGTTGATGAGGATGTGATAGCTTTCTCAACTGTACTGAGATGTATATCATGCTGGGTAAAGTCTCTTTACAATCTAAATTATGATTACTAATTGAATGTATAAATAATAATAATAATGAAATTTTTAAAAAGATATATATATATGATTGTCACATTTTACTCTGGAAGCATGTAGAAATACAGTATGTGTTGCTTGATTTAAGAAGGAATGGATATTTCATATATTAAAAGAATATCACATCTCATATATTTTTAAATTTTTCACTCCATCTTTTTCTGGGTATATTTCAAAGTAACAGTGAAAAAAAAAAAAAGAAAAGAAAAAAATAGCTATGAGTTTTGTCCTTGAAAGCATTTATACAACTGTAAAATATTTTTAGCCAATTTTATATTATTTTCATCTATTAAATTGTTTTAAGTATAAGACTACAGTTTTCACATACTCTGCCCCAGATTATCTTAAATATCCAATTTTCTTTTGTTTCTTTCAATTCATTATTGGCATCTATATTGAATAGCTACAGGTGAAGGCATCTGGCATTTATTCACTGCAAATTTCCAGGGTAGTAATAGCTGTATCCTTCAGTTTAGAACAGTAAGATGCCTGAATTTATTAGGCAGAGTGGAGCTTCAGAACATTATTTTTTTCATTACTGTTCTTCCCTCATCCACTGTGTTAAATTAAGGATGAAGGAAGTTTTTTTTCCCATATTTATCACACGCTCTAACTTTCTTTCTGTTTACACCGTGAATACATTCTGCTGCAGAACTGATCTTCTTCAGTGAAATCTGCTGTGGTGTGTTCTTCCCAAAAGCTGTCATTTCTGAGTAGGATCCACTAAATACCCATTAAAGCACCCACGAGTCCAGAAGTCTCATGAAAAATATTTAACTGATATTCTGTATATGCCTTATATAATTTCATCTGATACCTTATAAATCAAGGTTAAAAACAAACAAACAAAAAAGATAGACATTAGAGAACAAAAACTTACTTTAAAACAGGAAGGAGATTGTTTTAGCTCCAGCTTTGTGAGTTACAGAAAAAGAATACATCCTTCATTCTATCCCCCACACCACACACATTTAGATTTCATAAGAAAGATGTAAAAATGTTTTTGATTTAACTCTTAAATTTTGGGGGGCAAGCTTTATAAGGCCAAATCAATGCTAAATCAGAGGTATTTACAACATCCACAAATTTAAGCCAAGTGGATACTTAAAAGCTCATATAGATCTAAATGATGTTCTCCCAGATGGTGAATTAATGTAATTTTAGCAGGAAGCAAAGTTGCACAAATATGCATATTGAGGATTCGCGCTGATTTAATGTATCTGTACCCACCACGGCACAGATGTTGCTTATCATTTTAGTGCCACTTGTCTCTATTTCTCTCTATACTACAAAGGGAAGAATGGGATTTGGGAGCTCAGCAAATTATGATTTATTTTGTCACGAATGACTTGTTAGAAGTTGAAGTTTTCGGTGACCTGTGTATAGAAATCATATTGGTTATATTCTTTGTACAGGGTTTGAAAGGTGATTGGGGTCCTCCTGGTCCACCTGGCCCAAAAGGAGAAAAGGTATTGTATTTGCCCTGCAAAATGCCAATCTTTTCTTAAGAAAACCCTGAAAACCTATGCAGTAATTTAAAACAGTTTGTCTCCCCAAAGCATTTTTAAATTAACCAAAGGCTGTTATGTTAAAAGCATCAAAACCAGAAAAGGGTTTTTGTTTTGTTTTGCTGTTGTTCCTTTAATTAGTTTGAAGAAGCTAAATGCGCAATTGCTAGTTGAGATTAACTCATGTTTATAAGATTTCCCTTTTTTCACTCTTGCTTAACAGCATTAGGTATTCAGTTGCCAAATTAGCAAACATGTACTGTATCAAGGAACTTTGCCAATAGCACTGAGCTGCTACTGTAATGATGAAGCAGGTGGCTTTTAGGGGAAGGAAGCTAGCTTTGTGTCTCAGTCTTAGTCTAAATGCTCCCTTTCCTGCCACTTTCCCCCATATGCTATTTCGTAATGGCATGTTGACAGTGACCTTGAAATAGAATTGAAAAATAGTAAAAAGCAAATTTTTTGAATATAATCTTCAGGCAATCCCAGTTTGATGAGAATTATATGTGTTTTGCACTGTATTTTGTTTTCCATTCTCAGCATATTTCAAAATCCTTGTCTAGCTTCAATATTTACTGCTACATTAAAGGTGATTTTGTGGAACCAGCAGGTGGCATAGTGGTTAAGGTGCTGGACTCCCACATGGCAGATTGTGGTTTGAGCCCTGAATATGGTGTCTTGAGAAATCATTCCGGGAACTTGGCATGTGCGCCCCAGATGTTGAGAGAATGGAGGAGAAGAGATTGCAGCATGGCAACTATGGGCAAAGATTTCTCATTTTCTCTCTGTATCTCTGTTTCTCTCCAGTAAAGCACATGGGTACTATGGCATAAAGTGCTATGTGTACTATATATATGTACACACACATATACATACATACATATGTTTAATGATTTTGCAAATATTGTTTATATTAGTCAATTGTTCTAAAAAATAATGATCACACAATGCTAAGTCTCAGTTTTTGAGGGGGCTATATTAGGTGAGAAAAAAGAAATCCCTAAAGATTATCACAGCCTGTGAATATAACAGCCCAGTGCCCTATGCCTCGTAGTACATGATCTCCATAATGTCCACCGCAACAAGAAGCATGGAAGGGTGTGTAGTCTTAATGTAGAGATCTTACAAAATAAATAGAATTATTGAGATGATAAGTCCTGGAGGTGAGAACAAAATTCTAAAATTATCGAAATTTTTAGATAAACCATTTTTTAAATATTTTGAATTATTTTTTTCAATATAGCTACTTGGTCATTTGTATTCATGTAGATCAGCAAAGCAGTTTTAATATTTAAAAATACGTAAATATAGGCAAAGCCTCTTAGAGTTGACGGCAAGTGCAATGCCATTTCAGCAGAGTTTTAGAGGAGGCCATAGGACTGCTTCTTGCAGCTGGGAGGCATAAAGTGGGGAGATCCACTTAGTATTTCTGCTGATCCTCTTGCTAACTTTGTCAGAAAAATGATCTGTTGCTGTGACACTGCCCAGCTGCTCCATTGGCAAGTAACCATGTTGGAAAATGTATTTTTTCTAATTTTGAATTAATAGACAAAAGAATAAAAAAATCAGATTATTTTAACTTTTCAAAACAACTTCTGCTGCAAAAAGCAAGGGTTGCACAAGGTGATTTCGTATCATGAGAGCTAAAGACTTTTTCAAGATGAAATTTTATTTTTCTGTCCTTCAAGACTTATCTACAGAGATTGCTTCTGTTCGCTCAGAAGTTTATAAATAACATGGGTGGAAAGGAATGATAGTAATTGCAATTTTTCTTGGTCTATTTTAGGGAGATACAGGACCTCCAGGACCACCAGCCTTAACTGTAAGTATACTTGAAATCAAAATGCAAAATTGAAATATGTTATCCTGGTTATTATTCATACTACATCATGGCTAAACCAGAATTTAAATTAAAGAGTTGAAAGTGACCTCCGAGTGCTTCTAGTTAAACCTCCACATTTTAAAGGTGGGCCTTCTGCCCATAACAGTGAAGTATTTGACCCAAGGCCACGCAGGTAGTTACTGTGAAAGTCTGGATTTGGTACCTATCCTGAGTCATTTTCTCTCTCCTCCAAGTAGTTCATAATTCTGTCTCTTAAATGTTTGATTATATATTATTGATGCCACATTTAATGTAAATGGAAGCATAAACACTTCCACTTACTCTAATAACTAGAAAATAAACAACAAAAGACAAACTATAATCAACCAATGAGTGAATACAGTTACCCGTTTAACTTGATTTTTACATTACTCCAAACCTGTGGGGCTGGCAGGTGGCATGGTGGTCAAGGGCGCTGGACTCTCACATGGCCAACTGTCATTCGAGTCCCAGACCTGGTGGCTTGCTTTGTTGCTTTCCCTGTCTCTCTCACTCTGTTCTTCTCTGATCAAATTAAAATAAATAAAGTTAAACAAAAATAATCTTTCTTTTTAAAAAGCCTGTACAGAACTATTATTATGTGATTTGCTTCTAATATTTGCAAACAATAAAACTGCAGAATGTCAGTAGTAGAATTTATGAGAAACGTTTATAATGGGATTGCCCTAAATGAAATGGTTCATAACTTATTAGTCATTTAATCATAAATACATAATCCTTTCATATTTAGATACAGTTTACTATTACATATTTTCTTCATGGACTACTTTTTTTTTCAAATGAGGCAAACATTCACCTCAGAATTGTATTGTCTTCATAATAAAACAAAAGATGAAGCTTAGAACTAGATCACTCAAACCTTTCTCTTATCTCCTCCCAGTTCAAAATGTTCGCATCTCTTAACAGCCAGCATCCTCTTAGACCTGCAGTTGAGCACAACACATTCAAACCTCAGCACAATCTTCTTTGTAGTTTTTACCTTTTTCTAGAAAATGAGCTTAGTCTGTCCACCACAGCCATTCCGTTTCCTGTCATAACACCGCTGTCCCTGGGCTTACGGAGAATCCTTGACCTGTTTGTGCTGTGTCACTTTGTGAGGTTGGTGCATGACACTTCTTACAGAAGGTCCAGCAGGTTCTAGGGATATCTGCCATGTTTGCAGGCATACTGTCGGCAAAGAGAGAGAGGCTGTGCTGGAAGCCAAAGCATATCTTCATTGACTGTTAAAGATTCTCACTTAACTAAGAGATTCATCTAAGAATGACTTTAAGCCTAATGTGAAGTGGAACATGATTTTAAGAAGATGATTTGTAGCCTGAGGTCTCTCAAATTTTATGTTGATGTCATCTAATGACATAAATTGAGCATTTAAATCAGTGTCCACAAGCTTGTCCTGATTCAGAAAGGTCAGGTCTAGAGATCTTCCAGTAATCTGAATGGAACTCTTCCCATCAGGAGGCACAGCTATGTGGCTTTGATGACATTTGTAGCTATCTTTGTACTTGAAAATCCCATTATGAGGGTCAGTGGATGGTGTGGTGGTTAAAGGCACTGGATTCCCACATGCCGCAGTTCGAATCCTGGACCTGGTGACTTGCTTTCTCCCTTTCTGTTTCTCTCTCTGTCTCTCTCCGGTCAAATTAAGAAATAATAATAGTAACAAATGGAATTAAATAAATATTTTCTTAAATCTCATTATGCATGATACTTTAACAATGTTTAATGCAAATAATCCTTGCAATTCTTAATTAAAGAACAGATACTTTTAATAAGTGGAAAACCTAAGGAACCAAACAGTTGACTTAGGGATAGTCAAATTCAATGTGCAATGAGATACTATGGTTTTTGCTTTGTTTTGTTTTGTTTTGTTTTTGAGAGATTTTTTGCTATACTGCATGTGTGCTCACCAGAAAAACACAAAGATAGAAAGCGAAAATCACCCCCTGAGGGGATGGCCATGCTGCAATCCCTTCTCTCCTTTTTCCCCTCAGTATTTCAAGCATGCAAACGTATACACCCAGCGTGAGTTTCAAGCTGCTGAGTCTAGAAATCAAACTGCAATTGGACATATGGGAGTCCAGTGCCTTAACCACTGCCACCTGCTGGCCCCAGAATTCTATACCTCAAGCTTTTATTTTCAAGATAAAAATAAAAACTATTTATTTGAAAGAAAATTACCTGTATATTAGACCTTTTTTAAAAAATCCTTTGTGAAAAAAATTTTAAATGCTTTGGCAGTGATTTAGTTAAACCTGCTCATTTTACCTGCTGCATGTTTGCTTTTCTTTAGCCGAGTGGTGGGCTCAGTCTTCCACCTAGTTACCTGATTGCCTACTCATTTCCAATTCATGCTGGAAGACCAGTGTGCAATCAATGAGTCTCATCTCACCTGAAATGCAATTTTGACCCACAGCCAGAAAAGTGTATTGTACTACGTTTATTCTGTGGATTTACAAATGACAGCTGATTTCTTTCTGTCAAGGAATACTTTGAAGATATCTCTTTGAACCATTCAGCTGGCATGTACTCAGGGAATACAAGATAATTTTTATACTCATCTAAAGATTCGACATGAGAAAAACACTGTGAAATGTTTTACTTCATAAAGTAAAATGTTAGTATTTGTTGTTACTATTATGTATACTCTCCTTTGCGTCTTTAATAATGTAGATAATCAGGTATTATATATGAAATAGGAATAACTGGGACCAGCATTTGGCACAATGGCTATATTGCAGGACTCCCACGTAGTCGACCACGGTTCGAGTCCTGGACCTGGCGACTTAAGCTCACGCCGGATGCATGTGCATGTGTGCCCAAGATCCCGAGAGGAGAATGGAGGACAAGGGATTGTGGCACGGCCATCCCCCTTGGGGGGGGGGTTCTCGCTTTCTGTCTCTCTGTCTCTCTCTGTCTTTCTGGCAAGCGCATGCGCCCTATAGCAAAAACCTCTCCAAAAAAAAAGAAAAAAAATGAAATAGGAATAACTGAAATAAATACCAACTTAACACGTTCTAATGCAGGTTAATTCATTATTAATTTAAGTGATTTATAACATCTTTAAGGAAGCCAAAATAACTGACTGCAGTCTATTTGGATTAAATGAGATAATGATAAACAGGAGTCACTAAACTTAAAGTTCTCCCATGGTGATCTTCCCAACTAGCTGCACACTAAAACGCACTGGGGAGCTTTAAAACATATCAGTGTTGGGGATCTACCCACAGAGCTTCTAATCAGTAGATCTGATGTAGAACCAGCATATTAAGAATTATTTGTATAATTTTATTTATTGTCTTTAATTTGTTTTAAGGCATGTGTGTGTATGAGAGAGAGAAGGGGAAAGAGAGAGAGAGAGAGAGAGAGAGAGAGAAGTAAGCCATCAGGACTGGGATTCGAACCACAGTCAGCAATATGGAGTCCAGTGCCCCCATCACCATGCCACCTGCTGTCCCAGACCAGTGTAATATATAAAGTTCCTCAGGTAGATCTAAATATGCAACTGGAACTGAGAATTCTTGTTTATGGAAGCTATAGTGGAATGATCTTACTGCTTACTCAGAAAATCCTTCCAGACTGTTAAAGAAGTTTGCCTTTCATTTGAAATCCAACTTAATGCACGGTAATGAAGAAATAACTCTTTCTATTAGGAAGACATACTAGTAAAACTAAATTAAGATTGAAGCTTGTTTGGTTAAGTAGAGGAGATTAGAGCTAGGAATGTGCTTTTTTTTTTTTTTTAAGAGTTTTTTGCTATAGGGTGTGTGCACTCATTGGAGATACAGACAGAAAGGAAGAAATCACCTCCCAGGGACGATGGTCATGCTATGATCCCTTCTTCTCTATTCTCCTCTCTGGACTGGGGTAAAGCTTGAAATTCTACATTTCTTTTGATTTTTGCTATAGGATGTGTATGCTCTCCAGAGAGAGACAAAAAGAGAGAAAGTGAGAAATCATCACACCACACACACACACACACACACACACACACACACACACACACCCCAGGAGATGACCATGCCACAATCTCTTGTCTTTCCTCCTCTAGGGATTATGGGATTTGGGGCACTCACACACACTCACTTAGTGTGATTTTTAAGCCACTGCCCAGGGACTTGAACAGTGTGGCTTGCCATGTGCAATCCAGCGCTTTAACCTCCACACCACCTGCTGACCCAAAATTCTTTGTTTCTAGCAAGTCCATAAAAGATGCAGATGCCACTGGTCCTCATACCATACTTTGGGTCACAAGAATTTAACATCTCTTTCCAGCTTACACATTGGAATCATAACCAACAAGGTGCTTGCAAATATCTAATTCCCAGGCTGCTTCATCTACCAAATAAAGCCAGAATCTCTAAAGTAGGATCCATGACAACAGTCCTATTAAATTCATCCCAAACAATTCTAATGAGCAGCCATTTTTGAGAACCAAGGCTCTGAAAGCCTTGTTCATTGCCTCAATACTTGTATCAAAACACCCAACTTTGGGACCAGCAGTTGGCATAATGGCTATGTTGCTTGACTCCCATGTAGTCGACTGCAGTTCAAGTCCCAGACCTGGTGGCTTAAACTCACACTGTGCACGTATGTGTGCCTGCCCAAGATCCCGAGAGGAGAATGGAAGAGAAGGGATTGTGGCATGGCCATCACCCCTGGAGGATGATTTCTTGCTTTCTGTCTCTCTGTTTTTCCGGCTAGCACACATGACCTATAGCAAAAACTCTCAAACGAACAAACAAACAACAACAAAAAAAACCAACCTAATTACTTACAGGCACTTCAATCAGAGACCAGGCTTTCTATTAATATTTATTATTTAGTTTAATTACTAAATTATAGAGGATGAACTTCAGTCACTGCAATAGCAAGTCCAATAGCATTCTTTTCTTAGCAGGACCACAAGTGTCAGCAACTCTAGTGCATGGAATTCTAAAATC